AACTGGTAGTTTGGCGACATTTTGGAGGCGATAAAGGTTACTACCGGGGACTTTGGTAATAATGTGAGCAGTACTCAGTTCCGATTACGCATTATTTTGTGTGAGGGAAAAGAGAGATCATGGGATATGTCATGTGATATTAATGGACGAATTACGGTTCTTTAATCGGAAAAGGGGGGAAATCGGGAAAAAATCTGGAAATTTTGTATTTGGCTTTATTCTGTGTTGTATGAAACAGTGTTCGTAAATTTTTGGATCCCATGGCCGTAACTAAAGTGAATTCGAAATGGGTATTATGTATGTATTAATTTAACGTATGTGCTCATTATATTTTAAGTAGTGTTTTTGATTTAATTATATTTTAATTAATGATAGTTATTTGTGAATTTTATGTTGTAGGAATTTGGTATACGTTTTAGTTGAAGTAAACGTGCATGGAAATAATTAAATATCTGACACTAAATATTTGTAATGGTTGCGGTATGAATTCGTTTGATGTGTATAATGTAATAGATGATTTAGAGGTAAAAGTTTTTGGATATTTTATTTATTTTATATGTGGAAATGTTTATTTGGAAAGGGTAAATACTTTTCCGCGATCAGGTATTTCATATATGTTCTTTTACCGGGTTTAAAGATTGAGAAATTGTCATGTATTTTCGTGAAATTTTCTAATTTATGAGAAAAAAGCAGTGTACATGGATATAGTGAAGAGTGTGTGCAATGCCGTTTTTTGCAATTCTGGGATGTTTTTTAAGTAAAATAAGTCAACGTGTACATGGTTTAGTGATATTTTAATTAAATGATAGTTATTTTGTGAATATTATGTTTGTAGGAATTTGGTACCGTTTAAGTTGAAGTAAATGTGCATGGAAATAATTTAAATTTTGATACTAAGTATTTGTAATGCTGCGGTATGATTCGTTGGTGACGTGTATATGTAATAGATGATTTAGAGGTTTTTGGATATTTTATTTATTTTATATGTGGAAATGTTCATATTTGGAAAGGGTAAATACTTTTTGCGATCAGGTAATTTCATATATGTTTCTTTTACCGCGTTTAAAAATTGAGAAATTGTCATGTATTTCGTGAAATTTTTCTAATTTATGAGAAAAAAGCAGTGTACATGGATATAGTGAAGAATGTGAGCAATGCCATTTTTTGTGCAATTCTGGATTTTTTTTAAGTAAAAATAAGTCGGCGTGTACATGGTTTAGTGATATTTTAATTAAATGATAGTTATTTTGTGAATTTTATGTTTGTAGGAATTTGGTATACGTTTAAGTTGAAGTAAACGTGCATGGAAATAATTTAAATATTTGATACTAAGTATTTGTAATGCTTGCGGTACGAATTCGTTGGTGACGTGTATAATGTAATAATAGATGATTTAGAGGTAAAAGTTTTTGGATATTTTATTTATATATGTCGAAATGTTTACATTTGGAAAGGGTAAATACTTTTTCGCGATCAGGTAATTTCATATATGTTCTTTTTACCGGGTTTAAAGATTGAGAAAATTGTCAATGTATTTTTGTGAAATTTTTCTAATTTATGAGAAAAAAGCAGTGTACATGGATATAGTGAAGAGTGTGTGCAATGCCATTTTTGTGCAATTCTGGGATGTTTTTTAAGTAAAATAAGTCGACGTGTACATGGTTTAATGATATTTTAATTAAATGATAGTTATTTTGTGAATATTATGTTTGTAGGAATTGGTACATGTTTAAGTTGAAGTAACGTGCATGGAAAAATTTAAATTTTATACTAGTATTTGTAATGCTGCGGTATGAATTCGTTGGTGACGCGTATAATGTAATAGATGATTTAGAGGTTTTTGGATATTTTATTTATTTTATATGTGGAAATTCATATTTGGAAAGGGTAAATACTTTTTCGCGATCAGGTAATTTATAGATGTTCTTTTTACCGGATTTAAAGATTGAGAAAATTGATGTATTTTCGTGAAATTTTCTAATTTATGAGAAAAGCAGTGTACATGGATAGTGAAGAGTGTGAGCAATGCCATTTTGTGCAATTCTGGGATGTTTTTTTAAGTAAAAATAAGTCGGCATGTACTGGTTTATGTGTATGTGTTATTTTGAAAAACGCGTAAGGAGTATGGATTGTGCACTTTTTCCCAATTTTGCAGTGAATATTTGTCATGATTAAGCAGTTTTGTTAGATAAAATTTCTAGCATAAGTTGTAATTCGGCTAGTAGATTGTTGGAAGAAGTGTTCAGTAGATAAAAAAAAAAAAGAAACATGTCTTTACTTCGTGAAGACAAAATGGCGGCGGGAAAAAAAATAGAGGGTTGCTTAAGGAGAGTTGGTCGCCAAATTTTCGCCAACAAAACGCCAAGTTACCATAATGTAAAGATCAACCTCATATTTTTATATATATATACTGTGCATGTTGAAAGTTTGAAGGATTTTTGTGAAAGCACAGAAATCGAATATAAAAGAATTAGTGGTCACAGCAAAACATGATGGCTAGCTCTTTTGCCAGCTGCAGAAAATATTTTAAAAATAAACAAACCATTAAAATCATACTTTTTATCACAAGATAAATGTCCAAGAATATAGCAGCTCTTTTTTGAAAATGACACATCACAAATTTGGCTTCAATTCATCCATAACCAAGCAACATTATTTCACAATGCTGTGAAAATTATTGAAGGGGACAAAATTTCAATTATGGAAGTGTCAAATGAAATCAATAATTTAAAAACAAAATTGCGAGAAAGAATTGATAACAACTATGTTTCTTTAGTTATTCGAAAGGACATCACTAGGTTGGGAGAACAAGGTGCCATTAAACGACTTGATTTTCTGAAAGAAGTCAGAAACTTTTATAATGACTGCTTGGAATATCTTGAAGAACGGACGAGGACAATTCAAGGATATTAAAAATTTTCATTGGGTGACATTAAAAAGGGAGATTTTATGGAAATATGTGGAAAAATCTTTTTATCATATGTATTAGTAACCATTTTCCGAAAAATAATATTTGCGAAAATGGTCTTTTTGATGAGGTGTCATTGGTAAAAAGATACATCACTGAAGAAAAAATTAAATGTTGTTTGTCTGCAAATGTGGAGACACACAAAAAATGGATGGAGTTATTCCTTCATTTTAAACAAAATAATATTCCTTATGAAAATATTTTGAAAAAATTGTAGGACACGTGCTCTCCCTTCCAGGAACAAATGCAGCAACAGAGCATGTTTTTTCTAGTATATATAAAATATATGTACTACTGAAAAAACGCAGTTGAACATTTAAACTTTAAAATCTGTATTAAGCGTAAAGTATAATTTGACCAATTCATATGAGAAATTTCATGACATTTTAATAAATTATCCGAATCTATTGCAAAGTATTCATTCGGATAAAAAATATGACAGTGAAAGAAATTCATAATTTTTTTAAATAAAATTTCAAAATAATTAAAAAAACATAATATTCAAAATATAGTTTTTACAAATACATGATTGTATATAATAAATTTTTTTGAATTATTGGTCTGCTTTCATAACTAAATTACAATTCTCATTTCATTCCATTTATCGCCCTTTATCTCAATGGTGTGGTGTATTTAATTATGGCAAAGCACACTAGGGCTATCTGCCTAAGGGGAGGGATGCCTTCGTGGAGGACTTTCTAAGGGAAACTGGCTCGTATACACGTTACACATGGGGAAAACCACAAAAAACACCCATGCAGCCAACTCGTTCACGGGATTCGAACCTCGGACCGAACTATCAGTGTTCAGTGACTTTACCGCTCGGCCGCTTTGTTTCAATGAAAATGTGGTCATTTTAACCATGACTATGAATCTGGGTAACACCATTCACTTACCCAGAATCATAACAGATTTATTAGGCTCTACCCAATGACGATTCCAGTTTTTTAGATTCCTTTATTGAACACAGGCACAAATTTGCCATACTTTCCAGCAAAATGGAATTTCTTTCTGGAGCATTCATGAAAACTTTCTATTACTCAGTATTTTTAATGTGACATGCATCATAAATTTCTAGATTAAGGGTGATGAGAAGCAAGCTCTGAAATTTAGCTGATAATAAAAAAGTTAGTCTACCCACTAAAGATACATTTTGGTATCAATCTGACAACATATACGTATAAGATTTTAAACTCCGTAATTAAAAGAATTATTATAATCACATTCATTCGAAATTTTCTGGAATGAAATTTAATGAAATAACAAATGGTCTTTTTGATGAGGTGTCATTGGTAAAAAGATACATCACTGAAGAAAAAATTAAATGTTGTTTGTCTGCAAATGTGGAGACACACAAAAAATGGATGGAGTTATTCCTTCATTTTAAACAAAATAATATTCCTTATGAAAATATTTGAAAAAATTGTAGGAACGTGCTCTCCCTTCCAGGAACAAATGCAGCAACAGAGCATGTTTTTCTAGTATATATAAAATATATGTACTACTGAAAAAACGCAGTTGAACATTTAAACTTTAAAATCTGTATTAAGCGTAAAGTATAATTTGACCAATTCATATGAGAAATTTCATGACATTTTAATAAATTATCCGAATCTATTGCAAAGTATTCATTCGGATAAAAAATATGACAGTGAAAGAAAATTCATAATTTTTTTAAATAAATTTCAAAATAATTAAAAAAACATAATATTCAAAATATAGTTTTTACAAATACATGATTGTATATAATAAATTTTTTTGAATTATTGGTCTGCTTTCATAACTAAATTACAATTCTCATTTCATTCCATTTATCGCCCTTTATCTCAATGGTGTGGTGTATTTAATTATGGCAAAGCACACTAGGGCTATCTGCCTAAGGGGAGGGATGCCTTCGTGGAGGACTTTCTAAGGGAAACTGGCTCGTATACACGTTACACATGGGGAAAACCACAAAAACACCCATGATGGAAATAACAAAATGATTCGTATGACAAACAGTAAAATCAATGTTTTCATAAATTATACTCACCTTAACGCATTCTATATTTTCTTTATTACCACATATAGATGCAAATATTACGTCACAGCTGTAGTTCGCAGTACTTTCATCTACTTTTGGCATATTTAATTTTACATTATACCGGGCTTCTAAACTCTTTTGATGTTTTCGAAGTAATTTATGCTCCGCGACTGTTAAAAATATATCCTCCATTTTTGAAATTGGTAGACACACAGACAGACAAGAAAAACAGACTTGTAGATTTGCACTTGCTACGCTTTTCTGCCTAAAGGCTTAATCAAGCTGAGAAACAAGGAGGTTAGAGATCAAGCAAGGTTCCTTGCTGAGAAAGAATATAGAAAAAGTCATTTTCGTTTCAATTCTTTTATTTATCAAGAAGTTCTTTTATTTATTAATAAAAAAATATTTTCAGTTTTGCGTTCTCGACGCCCAAGGGCAAAAAATAAATCTTAGATGTGAGGCCATCCGACGTCAGACAATTAGTCCCTGTCGGCTTTTCTGTGGGCCCAGGTGCTCTAAGGCAACTGACCGTAATTTTGCAATTAATTTCGCAATTGCAGCGCTGCGGCAGGGCTAAAATAAATGCATGTTCGAGTTGGTGAGAAATGATGCAGGAACGGGAAGAATTGGAAAGTTGCTGTTCTGTGTCGCCATCTATTGACAAATGAAGACTTGAAACGGTGAATAGTAATAAAATGGAATTTTAAAATACAGCATGGGGGCAATGGAAAATAAAATACAAAACGAATATATATATATAAACACCTTCGCATTTATTTATTAATTATTGTTCATTGAACGGGAGTTGGTTTGTTCCCCTTGAAAATTCAACTAATTTCCGATCAATAGCAATAATTGCTTGCTTTTAATTTCTTTTTCACTGTTTGAAATTTTTTATTCAAGATTTACTTCAAGTCCCCGGAAAACATTTTTAACAATTTACATTCAAGTTACTTTAAAACATTTTTCGGAATTAAACTTCCTACCTATGGGTTCATTCTTTTTAGATACTTCTACTAAAATTAATATTAGGAGATAGTATATTCAATATTTCTTTAGTAAATAAATTATATATATGATAATTATATATCTTTAGTAAATAATTATATATATTTATTATATATTATGTATAATAAATTATAATATATATATATATATATATTACATATCCATGAAATAAAGGATAAAATACCCGAATAATAAGATGAAAATAATAGCATAAAATCCGTGTTCTGCTTTGCTACGAATATCAAATTAAATTGAATTAGTTTTAGTATATACATTTGTACATGAGCTAGTAAGATATTTGGGAGTCTATATTACTGCTAAACACCCATTTATAAAAATACATTTTTTTAATAAATCAAAATATGTACATAGCGTTAGAATAAACATTAACCTCAGCTCAGCGGTGAATAAAGTGTGCACACAAACTTCTAAAAACAAACGGAAACATTGAAATTTTTTTTTTTTTTTTTTTTTTTTTTTTTTTTTGCAGTCGCGCAGAGATGAGATTTTTATCGCGCATGCGCGAGGAGGAGAACTCGAGGCTCTGAAGGGGGAAAAGGTAACCCCCCACAGATATATTGAGAAAATCGTCCTTGACCTCTTGTAGGGGTAAAAAAATATTATTCCTGTTTTAATTTTTGAATAATTGCACATTTTTATAGAGATAACGGGGAGTTTACACGAATAATCGGAATTTCGTGAAATTCTAATCAGCAAATTTAGATAAATCATGCACCAAAGCAGAAAAATCACATTTTTATGAAAGGGAATTGAAAAATATAGAAGAATTTTAAAATCATGACGGTTCTTAAAATCAATGAATATATACATAGATTCAGTTACTAACTTAACTTTTCTATTGTGAGCAACTACATAATTGTATAAATTGCATATGTAAAGTAAAATATTAATAAATTATACATTATTAATATAACATAATATATCGAGTTTTAACGAAAGTTTGGCCTCACCGCAAATATCGTCTGCGCAAAGAATTAGCGTTAGCGTGTTTAGTCATAGTTTATCAAACGATTTTTGGCATTTGAAAGAAAGAAAATTGCTTTAGAACACTGTGTTGTAAAATTTGTAAAAAAAATATCGTTACGTGTAAGGTGTAAGGTGTAATGGAACTATCACGCTTCCAGATTAGAACCATCATTTACTTCCAGTTCTCTTACAAAAAGTCAGCTACAAAATGTCACCAAATCATGTGTACAACTTTAGGTACTAATGTTATATCACATGACGCTGTAATGGTTCGATACCGAAAGTTCAAAAGCAAGGACTATGACATTCAAGAAGCACAGCGCTCTGGTCGGCCTACTGATGTTGATGAGGCCCGCTTGCGAGAACTTGTGTAAGGAGATCATTATGCAACCACTTTAGAACTTGCTAAGCAGTCAAACTTTTGTGCCATGTCGATTATTCGCGCTATGCATCGCATAAACTAACGTACAAGTTCAATAGCTGGGTGCCGTATGAACTGACTCGAGCAGATAAGGACAGGCAAACGTGGATTTACTTCAACAACACAGCCCGAAAAGGGAGTTGGTCTGCGCCCGGGGAGCACGTCGGCAGCATCGGAAAGCGCAGTTTCATTAACAAAAGATCATGTCTTGCTTCTGTGAGTTCCCGTGTAATTACCCACGTAGAGTATCTGGAAAAAAAGGTAAAAGCCTCGACAGTAAAGTGTACAACGAGATGCTAGTCCGTGCTGACGCTGCTATTAAAGAAAAACTTCGAACTGAGTCACGGCGCAAAAAGGTAATGTTCCATCAAGATATTGCAAGATCATATGTGTCTGCATTTACCGGCTGTACTCTGTACGGAGTCGAACGGGATCTTTTTGGCACACCCACCGTATAGACAAGACATCGCTCCTGCAGACTTCTACCTTTTTTTGACACCTGGAGCTACATCTTGCTGGTACTATCTTCTGTTCTGCACAGGACGTCCAAAATGAGGTTGATCTGTTTTTGGACACGCGGCCACCAAGTTTCTGGGCCGAAGGCTATGAAAAACTACTAAAACGTTGACAGAAAATATTATACTAAAGGTACTGCTTTCATGTTTTTTTTTTTCTAACTTTATTAAGAACTTTTTTTTTTGGCGGAAAACTTTCGCTACAAGATATTTAAAAAGATTAAGTTTAATGCAGATATGTACATAAATTTATACACATAAATTTAATGCATCTGACTTAAGTTTGATGTTTCGAGTAAACAGTTATAAAAATTTTTACTTTTTTATCAACTTATCTGAACACATGTGTACATTATTGCAATATTTTGTTTTATATAAGAGTAAACTTAATACATAAGACTAAATAATACACAGCTAAAAAATACACAGCTAAATAATACACAGCTAAATAATACACCTTTATAAATTGAGTAACAGATAATAAAATTCATCTTTTGTAACTAAAGTAATATAATTTAATGCTGCAAGTCATTAGAAGTAAAATATGAGTTTTGTAATGCCACCTAATGAGAGAATATGGAAAACACTTTTTGGGGGTTCTAAAACACAAATTCTAAAATAATTATACATTTGTCAGATTAATTACTGTTCTATTTGACATATGACGAATGTCATATCTGTGATATACTATGAGAAATGTAATATTTATGATAACTTCATATGACAAATGTGATATTTGTGATAACTTCAGTTGAAAAACTACCTCAGAACCATAAGAATGTTTTCATGACTTTTTTTTTTTTTTTTTTTTTGGTTCAAAGGGGCTTTGTCCCTGGAGGACTATTGTTTCCGTTTTGCGATTTTGCGTTGAATCACAATAAACGGCGAATCACTTTTGAAACTGTTGCCAACAAATGTTAGAATCCTGCATTATATTTGAAGAAATTAAATAATGAAAAATCTGCATAAATGTATATATATTTCTCTCATTGTGATAAAACAACGGTACACAGAGCCATCAAATTTTGAATAACGTAATTCTCCTACAAATATGGGCATATGGAAGACCAAATTTGAAATTTGGAATTTGTTTTAGAATCGATTTCATATTTTATAAAACTTTAACGAATTTCTGAGTAACAAACTCAAAGAATTAAAAGCAAGCAATAGCATCACTCTACGGGGAAAAAAAAAAAAAAAAAAAAAAAAAAAAAAACTTTTTATCCCTAGCGGCATGTAACTGTGTATCCGAAATTCTAAAGATATGCTCATTTTAATATTTTTTTGCTGACGGACTATCGTTTTTTTTTTGGGGGGGGGCAATTTGCCCTGAAGGACTATTAATTTTGTTTGGGCATTTTGCGTTGAAAACTATAATCGGCGAATCACTTTTAAAATTGTTGCCACCAAATATTATCGACCTGTGTTAGATTTAAAGAAATTAATTTACGAAGAATCTGCATAAATGTATATATATTTCTTGCATTGTGATAAAACAACGGTACCCAGAGCCATCCAATTTTGAATAACGTACGTTTCCACCCAAATATGGGCATCTGGAAGCCCTAATTTGGAATTCGAAATTTGTTTTATTATCGATTTCATATTTTATAACACTTCAACAAATTTTTGATTAACAAACTAAACGATTTCAAAGCGAGCAATGAAAAAAAATATGAGCATACGAAAAAAAAAAAAATAATAATAATAATAATCTCCAGCGCACGAGATTCTGTATCGGAAATTCTAAAGATATGCTCATTTAAAAATTATTTTAAGATGTGGCTGTTGAACAGAACTTTTATGGTTTGAGATGGTTTGAGTACGTAGAACATGATATTTAATAAGTAAAGGTAACATACAAAACGTTAAAAAAAAAAACGCCCTTTTGGACGTAATATAAAATCTAAAACCTTTCAGTTTTTTTTTTTTTTTTTTTTTTTTTTAAGTTACCAACTTGTTTATATTTTTAAGTACTGAAATTTCTAATACGATTTCTAATACACTTTCATTTCTAATGTTCTTTTCACTAATGATTTGAAATGTATACATGTTCTTAATTATTATTCTTATAAAAAGCTTTTGTTTATTTTTTTCCAAAATAATAGCTGTTTCCTTGCTTCAAGTTTTTTAAAACTGGCTTGTGTGTTGAACTGCTATGAATTTTTAATTTGGTTTCTTTGCCAATACATTAATTCTTCTGCAATTTTCTTTTCCAGTTTTTTATTTTCTTTTTAAAACGTTTTCTACTGTTTGATTTATAAGGTATTTTCTCCCTCCTTTCTGCA